AGATGATGGGAGGTAATCTTCATGTTGTTTAAAAAAAAAAAAAAAAAATCAAAATAAAAAATGTCAAAAAATGCACAGTGGTTAAATCCGATCCCCCCTCTTTTCTTGGTGTGAGGGCTTAAATCCCCCTCGCAAATTCTTCTACGTGCTGTTGGGCAAAAGCAGGGGAAACGGCGGCCCTGGATGCGCAAGATCACGGCATGGTCACTTCTCCTAAATCCGCTCGCGATGCCGGCATGGTTCCTCCACCCCCCAGTGTCCTTCTCCGTCTTCACTGCGCCAACAAACGGCAATCCTCGGGCTCGATGGACGGTGGAACATCCATGTCGGAGGGATCCGGTGGAGAGGAGGCTGAGGAGGAGGGAGGGAGCCCGAGCATGGGCTGTGGGTGAGTTACTAGAGAGAGAGAAGGGGGGGCGGAGGGGCTGGAGAGCGCCAAGCAGAGGATACAGCAGCGATATGCAGCCTCCTATGAGGCTCTCTGTGTTGCCTGCGCTCCCACTACTGCACTGCTGCACAGATTCTGACGTGGAGCCTATGCTGGTGCTGTGCACGCGCATAGGAGAGAGAGAGAGAGAGAGAGAGAGAGAGAGAGAGAGAGAGAGAGAGAGAGAGAGAGAGAGAGAGAGAGAGAGAGAGAGCAAACAGAAAATGGACAGGGACTGGATAAATAATTGGCAGTGAGGGATTAAAAACACTTCAATATTATTTTGTGTGCAGTGCAACAACTTGGTGATGCGTTTAAGTGATTTGGGAGAAAAAACAAAACGATATGAAGGTGAACAGGCTGTACCTGTAACATCACAGTTCATGATCAATAATCCAGGTAATAAATCCAACAAAGTCAAGTCAGTTCCTCTGGATGGTTTCTTTGTGTTGAAACGATTCATCTCTCATCCAAGGGACTTCTTCAGTCCGAGGAGCCACAACAAACTTAGTCCCATAAGTAGCACACTCACACAGCCAACCAGTTTGATGGTGATAAACTGGACACTGGATTTGTTACCTGGATTATTGAGCATGAGCGTTGATGTTTTGAATCACTTTGGCCATGGCTGCCTCAGACGAGTTGGCGGGGGAGAGGGCGGACTCCAGAAACTATTTTATCACCACCATCTCTTGGATGAGAGATGAAACATTTCAATACAAAGAAACCGTCCAGAGGACCCGACTTAACTTTGTTGTCTGTACTTGTAACCTCACAGCAGAGTGAACTGAACCAGTTCAATCCAGTCCATGTGGAATTAAAAGCCCAGCAGTCCTTGAAGCGATGCATGTCGCCCGCTATCTTGGTTGAGCCGTGTTGGTTTTCATCAAACCATGAAAATCTTTTAATGCAGTCTCATGCTTGGCTAGATGTCACGTTTAGATTATGTGTTGTGAATAACTCAGTTATTGAAACACCAATTTATAACTTAATCCATAAAATCAGCTGAGTTGTCATAGTTTTTGTGTTTGCTAGAGTTGACTTGCTGTGGGGACCATCCTGAAATAGAATAACTTGAAAAGTGGATCAGTTATTTCCTGAAGATTCCACTAAAATTCATTCAGTGGTTCACGAGATATTTTGTTAACAGAGAGAGTTAACTGTAACGACTCAAAAAAAACAAAAAAACAACAACTAAGATTGTGCATAATCTATTAGAGCTCGTTGGTTTCAGCTTCTGTCCCATCACACATCAACTCAATCATTTGTAAAATTGACCGTTTTGAATAGGCTTCACTCCAAAACTGAATCAGTTATAAATACGTATACGTTCAATGAGTTCCCTCTGCAAGCTTAATTAAAATCTGTCCGGCGGTTCAATAAATATTTCGCTAACAGACAGTCACATAAACAATTCATGCCATTTTCACGCACTGAATAAATCACACGTGAGTGGAAAGAGATAAAAAAGGATTGCTGCAATGTTTACTCAGCAGTGCTGTTGTGTGTTTGTGTGTTGTTTAACCGGCACGGACATGAAGAACAGACACGGGGACGAGCCAGCACTCATATTGATCTGTACATTGGATTTGGTGCAGAAGCTGCACTATAGACACTCAGGTTGACTAAGTGAGAAATGTAAGAGCTCTTTATGTGTTTTCAACCACAACTTCATTAAAAAAACGGATCTTTCATGGGAATTCGAGCAACCATATCTCTCCAACAACGTAGGAGGAATGGGATGAAAGGTGAGCAAATTTGCAAAGGGCGCTGAAAGGTGCGAATATTTAACCTATGCAAATAAATCCATTTAGATTTCAAAGCCTTGCAACAACAAAACTGGAGTTCTCAACTGTGTGAAAGTGTGCGTGTGTGTGGCATTAAAAAAAAAAAAAAAAAATCCCAGCTACTGGCTGACTTCCTCAAGGAATGACATCGTGCAAATCACGTTTTATCTGATTAGTGGAGTTAAAATGAGCTCTTTTCAGTGCTGGTGTTCCTCGCACCCGAGAAGATGCATATCTGCCACTCTTGTGCATCTGGATGCACCTTATCAGTGTCTTCCTCCTCCCCCCTCTGTGACCAGCTCTTCACAGGCCAGTGCTTCAGCTGGAAATAAAAAGGTACAGCGGTGCACCTCTGCTCCGGAGAGGATCACGGAGGGCTATTTAATCCCCACAGAGGAGTGAAAGAAGCTCTTTGATCGGAGGCCGAGCGTGGATGAACACTGTCATTGTGGGGTTTAACTGTGAATGACTAGTGTGTTTAGGAGTGTGTGTGTGTGTGCTTGCTGAGAAAACACACCAAAATAAACTCATCAAAAATAATTGTACATGTTTATGCTCTCTAAATTGAGTAAGACATTTTTTTTTATTTAAAACACCTCTGAAACGTACTAGAATGTGCTCCACAACAAAACATGAAAACAAGCAAATATGAACTTTTAATTGAACAACAAAATGAGTCATAAGCAAATTGAACATTAAAAGCCTAGCATTCCTTGAAGTTTGTGTTGAAGATGAGACCCAGCTACTACCACACACAATTTTAGCTGATCATCTGTAAAATTAAGTTGTAGCCAGTTTTGTGATTTCTGAGTCCATTCTGCTGTAGTGGCTATCTGGAAAGGGAGTGACTTCAAAATGTATTCTGTTGCAGATGTCCATCTAATCATCACTTTCTGAGAGCTATTGTGCTAACAGTACAATTCAGTTCAATTTATTTATACAGTGCCAAGTCACAACAGAAGTTATCTAAGGGTAGTGTACATTAACATACATATATATATATATATATATATATATAAAGTAAGTTAATAATATTATTTATTTGAGGAGCAGATTGATTTGAGTTTAACTCCATCGGAGAACTCTCATCTTGAGCAAGCATGAAGGCGACAGTGGAAAGGAAAAACTCCCTCAGGAGGAAGAAACCTTTAGCAGAACCAGACTCAGGACAAGTGGCCATCTGCTTCAACTGACTGGGTTTGGTAGGAACAGATACACAATGGCAGGTTGAGAATCACATGTTAAGATAGAAATAATTTCAAATGAAAACTATTACATTTTAACAATTAATTTTAAGAAATGAGGTCAACTGAAAGATCTTCCATTTCCATTTGGAAACTCTAGGATCTGCAAGTAAACCATGCAGTCTGATACTGAAGTGCTTTGTTCGGAAAGCAAGGACATATAAGATCTGTAATGGAGCTAGGTTGATGAGAGCTTTGTAGGTTAGAAGTAAGATTTTGAATTAAATTCTGGATTTGACAGGGAGCCAATGGAGAGAAGCTAAAACTGGAGACATATGATCTCTCTTACTAACGCCAGTTAAGACTCTGGCAGCAGAATTTTGGATCAACTGAAGTCATTTTAAAGTATTTGGACATCCAGATAATAAACCATTGCAATAGTCCAGTCTAGATGTGACAAATGCATGAACCAGTTTTTCTGCATCATTTTTAGTTAAGATGTTTCTAATTTTAGTGATATTACTCAGGTGGAAGAAAGCGGTTCTAGTAATGTTTTTAATGTGGGAGATAAAAGGCATGTCCTGACTGAAAATAACACCAAGAGTTTTAACATTAGAGCTGGAGGCCAGATTAATGCCATCCAGAGAGAGCAAAAGACTGAAATTTTTTTTCCTAAAATGCTCAGGTCTAAAAACCAAAACCTCAGTCTTATCTGTGTTCAACAGGAGAAAATTATGGGTCATCCAGGTTTTCATGTCTTTAAGCCATGCTTATAGTCTAAGTAACTGATTGGATTAATTGGGTTTCATGAACAAATATAACTGTGTTTCATCAGCATAACAATGAAAATCCCATGCTTTTTTAATAACATTGCCTAGTGGAAGCATATTCAATTCAATTCAGTTTATTTATATAGCGCCAAATCACAACAAAGTTGTCTCAGGGCAGTTTACAGAAACATTCACATACAAACATAAAAGCCAATTAGTAAAATTCTCTATCTAAGGAGGCCAGCAGACAAGTATATAAAGTAAAAAGTATTGTTCCAAGCACTGAACCCTGAGGAACTCCATGACTATCTTTGGTGTAAGAAGACGATTCATTAACATTTAAAAACTGAAATCTATCAGATAAATATGATTAAAACCATTTTAGAGCTGTTCCTGTAATTCTAATATCATACTAAAGCCTCTGTAATATAATATTGTGTTCAACTGTATCAAATGCAGCACTGAGGTCTAACAGGACCAGTGTAGGCACATGTCCATTGTCTGACAATATCAAACACATGCATGGACATGGGTACAAATATTATCGTTATTGCCTTTGTGACAATGATCTTAATTTAAGAGGGTGAATCTTAAGAACTGAACTTTTGAATAATTTTTGTTAATATCAAGAGGTCTGACAAGAACATCCCAAATAAAAGCAGTCTAAGAAAACAGACAT